TGGCGGGACCTCCTGGGCCAGAGCAGCCATGGTCTCAGGAAGCAGGGCCTCGTGCGCCGGAGCCATGCGCCGCCCGCTCCGGGAGAAGCCCGGCTGCCCCAGGGGGCACAGGCACCAGGAGTATCTTACACAAGAAAGCCCCTTGCACACAAAAACTCTTAAAAGTATTTACGCAAAATCATACCCCTGTAGACATGGACAAACTGCTATTGGGAATATAAGCCCCTTCCAAGTGTTGTTCTATCTGAGGAACTGAGCTCCACTGGGGACTTTTCAAACTCATGTATGAATTCTGTATGTCAACACTGTATACAACTAGTACGTGCTACCTTATGTTGGAGCACTAAGAAGACTTTTCATTTCACTACAGCAGTCATTGTCATTACACAGGATTCAGTCAGAGTCCATCAGTGCCACGTAAACAACTGTTTATGAGAAAGTGCTATCAGAAACCAGCCTCCAGCTGCACTCTCAGGCCAACAGACTTGTTTAAGTAATTCAACAACTACAATAAAGGAACATCAATAGATTTGAATAAATAACTGGCATTAATCTATTATACAAACCCAGGCAGGTATTAACTATTTTCAAACCATCACAGGACTCAATTGCCATAACCTACTAACGTTATTCTTCCCCAACAATGAATGCTGAGGAATCTACATTTTTCAACAGCAAAGAACTAGAATAGCTGTGTTTTGGTATCTTATCCAACTTAACTTTCTTGCTGTACCAAGGCACTTAAGGAAAAAAGGATTTTTATATCCTTCTGAAAATCTGGCTCAGCACCTGCAGCAATATGCATCCTTGAGATACTGTCCTCTCATTTGCAGTAATTCAACATTAAACTAATTGCTTTTAATACCAAAATTTAAAGAATGAATGTGGCTCCCTCTGTGACGATGCCATTTTATCCCAAGAGAATTACAGTTCTAATTTGTGGAAGTCACCCAGCCCAAATTTACAGCAGGTAAGTGTATGTGATAAGGTAAAGGATAAGCCTGTTCCATATGTCAGCATAAAGGGCGAGGTGCTCTGGGCACTGTAAAATCAGAATATAGGACAAGTTAGAAAATAAGCTGACATTTCCATTTGGTTTAAAAAATGTAAAGCTTTGTGATAAACTGGAACTTTGTTTACACTAAATGAAAAGCTATTTCTGATCTCAGATCAGCCAAGAACATGGCTCCGTGCTATCAAAACCATATACCATGTGTATGAAAGTGCACTCCAAGGAGAGAGGGCATAAGGCAAGCCAGAGCAGTCTTTTCAGCTTCTGAAGCAACTCCTTGAACAGGTTCTTAGTGCCAGAATTTGCACAGCCTGTTGCTTGGATCCAGCATGGCCCACAGACCCATTGTAGGATCACATTAGTTTCTTCCTTAAATGCTGATTTGGATTTAACCAAACAGAAAAGTTTTCCTAAAAAATGGCTCATCAAGCCAAGCAGCAAAAATATGGAGTCTGAAGTTTCACAACGAAAAAGCTCCCCTTTTAAATTCCCCATTGATGAGGAGAATGTGTTAAGCATCTCCAGCATGAAGTTCTTCATCTGCATCCATTTCCAGTTTGCCTCTGCAATGCTCCAGTGAAAGCAGGTATAGGATGGATTGTACTTCTTTTCCATTTTCTCCCACTATTTGAGCTTTCCATGGACTGAGCTGTATCTCAGTGAGTAGGTCTGACAATTTGGACAGCAGCATTTGTATGCAAAACTCCTCTTCATCAGTGTTTCAGCACCTGTTTTCACTTTCTGTGAAGAAATTTCATTTTGCTTCCTACCAAGAAAAGGAAACATCTAATTAGAACACTAATTAGACTCCAGAATCAAAGAAGTTAATTGAATAATATCTCTTGTTTCAAAGACAAGCCATTTTGACCAACAAAACAGTTTGTGATGGAAATTAATTAAGGCTCTTCAATTCATTCTCAGCCAATGCAAGATTGTTCCCAAAATCTTCATCTAGCCCTATTTTATGTCTTCAGGGACAGCGCTACCACCATTTGTTTTAGCCAAAGACTTCTCAATATGCATATTGAGAAGTACCATTACTGGCACGGGGTAGAATTGTAAATAAATGAATTGCAGCTCATTTTGAATATTCTGGGGTATTAACAGCACCCAAGAAAAGTAAATATGACTATGCAAGGTAGAAAATGTGCTTCCCCCTTCTGGCTAAGCTCCACCTTGTTCAGTGGACACTTTTATACACAGGCTCAACAACTGACCCGACCAACGGCAAAACCAAACATTTACCCAGACTGCGAAGAATTTTGTTCATCCCGCTTGGTTCTGTCTCTGGAATAGTCTCCAAATACCCCAAGGCACGGACCTCAAACAGGCCTAAGGAAGAAAATCGTTTAGCCACCTGAGCTGCAATATGCAAAGAAATGGAACAAGCCACACCATTGATAACAAAAAGCATAATTTATTAGAGCTCCCATGAGGCTGGCACATACTCTTGCTAATGTAATGTACTTAAGAGCTACAGCAGGGCTACTCAACATACAATCCATGGGCTGCATGTGGCCTGCAGCCTGTTTGTTTGTGGCCCATGGTGCGGTTTGGGTTTACACGGGGCTCAACACAGGTGGGAGCCAAAACACAAAATAGTCAATATAATAGTCTTCTGTTGATATTAATAAAATGCAATATCAACCCGATTTCCACCCATATGACAGCACTTTTAATGAACAATGACAGTCCAGGAATGTAACTACTAAAACGCATGTCAATAGAACTGACTTAAATGGGGCCTGCATGTTGTGTAGTCTTGCCTTCATCTTTGTATACATACATGGTCAACAGTGTGAAAAGCTATTTACATAAATTTGCATATATATTTGGATGTATATGCAACCACACTTAAGTTGCAGCCCTCGTGACGTGCTGTAAGTATCATTGCGGCCCCCAGGGCTTCCAAAGTTGAGTAGCTCTGAGCTACAGGATCAAACCCTAAAGGAGTTTCTGCTTTCCATTTGAGAAAAGTTGGTTTAGTGAAGATAATTTCTTTTGGAAAATGCAAAGGGATAAAAGGTACCAGCACCTTTCAGACCCCAGTAAGTCCTGCATTATATAGGCCAAAATGCCATGGCATGCATAGAGCAGTTCCTGGATTCTTACTATGATTAGGGTCCCTTGGTCTCTTCTGAACCAGCTTCAATATTATTTTAAAACCTTAGGTGGATCCTTTTGAGGTCACTTAGAAATGAATATATCACATTGTAGACAAAGTTGACTTCTGTACCACAAAAGTAAGATGAAGCAGCTGGAATAGCAGGTCTCACCTTTGACCCCACTCTTACGGAGTTCCCGGTCCTGTATGAATCCTGCAAACATCTGTGTTTCCATGAACAGGTCTAGGAAATGGCGCACATTACGGGAGGTGTGTGACTTTCGAAATGGCTCTCGCTGGAACACCCGCTCTCCTTTCTCTGTGACATTCATGTGCAAGGAGTAATGTCCTACAATCTCCACAAAGAACTGTACAAAAGCTTCAGAGACCAGGGAGTTCAAAGTTACATCACCTACCAGGGAAAGGACAAAAGTCTATTTCACATTGCAGTAGTCAGAGTGTGATACTTCTGGGAGAGTATCGCCTTTGCTCCTCCAAAAAGTCCTGGCTGAATAGGACTGGGTGGCTCAGACTGAACAACAGAGTTTCATATTGTACAGTATGCGGACTAATCTTCCCATATTGATAGCTAATAGACCACACTGGCAAGGGAAAGATCCAATAGATGTAGTATCTTCATTCCAGTATTGTGTGATGGTGGTAAATAGAAATTGCAAAATTGGTATTTTAACTTAATGTGAATGATTGCTTAGTACAGACCTGCAGATGTACTTTCCTGGAATGATTCATTATTTTGTAAAGTGCTTTTGAGATGAGCAAGTTTAAAAGCTATTCTATAAAACTCCAATTCAGCACATGTCATACTACACTGAAGTACAGAAATTCTAATTTCTAATTAACGAAGAGGATTGATTAAATGTGCATTGATTAAAAGGATTACACAAACTCAAATATACTGCTAAGAGAACCTCTGTCTCATGTGGATCGGGCAAAATTAGGGCATTGCATTTCTCATTCTGCCTTTTTCTATAACCCACTCAAATAGTAAAGCTTCTCTCAGTGAGTCACATGGAAATAGCTTGCTAATATATGGCACCAGTCACTTTCCACCATCTACATGTGTTTTTGTGTTGACCAGAGCAAATCTCTCAGGCTTCCATATAGTGCAAACACTTTGATACAATCACCTTGTGTGTACACCTGCTCCTGGGATAAAATTTCATTTCGTTCCTCCAAAATCTGTACAAGTGCAGCCTGGAGTTTATGAGGTAGGATCTCATCCTCGTCTGATACCTAAACAAACAGAGATGGCTTGCATGGAATGTGTATTGCATCTTACATCAATATCAACAGTCCATGTCGAACAGAGAAAGGGATGCTGGGTGCATGCTAGTTCCAGTGAGATCAGAGTTACTCTATGGCATGGTGCCTAGGTGTACTGATGGCAGAGAATGTGCACCTTGTGGCCATAGCAATGCAAAGAGGACAAAAACATTTAAACCAGATATTTACAGACGCTACATTCAAATTACATATTACAAATATGCAATACAAAACCATACTTTCACATCTGATACATCCAGTATGCAGATTCAGACTCTGAACATACCCAACAAACAAAATTGGGGAGAAACAGCAAATTGCAAGGTCAGTCTTAGTGAGGCATTTATTAATACCTGTGTCTACCAGACTCCATGTGCTGGCTGCAATGCAAAGTAGAAAAGTGAGACAGAATTCTCAAATGGGAAGAGAGGCAATAAGGCCAGGACCAAAACAAAAACCAAATTGCTTCAGTGAGGACATTTATAGTCACTGTAGGACTAACTTAAAGAAAAAATGGGCAATATTGAGATCAAGAAAGTCACTTAAACCTCTCTGCTTCATTTTCCCCTTCTATTGGGGATAACACACAGTTGTCTCCTGGAATGTCAAAACACTAAGATAAATTTGTATGATGCTAAAGCATGAAATGCTAGTGAAGTGATATTTGAAAAGGAACTATAATCAGTGGAATATTAAATCATCCAATGTTCTAAAATTAACAGCTCAGAGAATGCACTATGATCAGTAGTCCCAACTAGGGAATTGTTACACATGCTAAACAATACTCAAACATGTATTCTATATACAGCCACTCATTAGAGGATCTCAATTTTTCAAACAATACAGAATATTTGAGACTAGCATCCTAAGTGAGCAGTAGTGTTTCTTTATAAGAACGGCTATACTGGGTCAGACCAAAGGTCCATCTAGCCCAGTATCCTGTCTGACAATAGCCAATACCAGATGCCCCAGAGGGAGGGAACACAACAGGTAATCCTCATGTGATTACTCTCCTGTCACCCATTTTCAGTCAAACAAAGGCTGGAGCCACCATTCCTACCCACCATGGCTAATCGATTCATGGAGGTTTGGTCCATCAATGGCTATCTAGCTCTTTTTTGAACCCTGTTTAAGTCCTAGCCTTCACCGCATCCTCTGGCAAGGAGTTCCACAGGTTGACTGTGCGCTGAGTGAAGAAAAACATCCTTGTGTTTGTTTTAAACATGCTGCCTACTAATTTCATTTGGTGACCCCTAGTTCTTATATTGTGGGAACAAGTAAATAACTTCTCCTTATTCACTTTTTCCACACTAGTCATTTTATAGACCTCTATCCTGTCCCGTCCCCCCCTTAGTCTCCTCTTTTCTAAGCCAAAAAATCCCAGTCTCTTTAATCTCTCTTCATATGGGACATGTTCCAAACCCCACATCATTTGTTGCCCTTTTCTGAACGTGTTCCCATGCCAATATATCTTTTTTGAGATGAGGTGACCACATCTGTACGCAGTATTCAAGATGTGGGCGTACCATGGTTTTATATGGAGGCAAGATGATATTTTCTCTCTCTTAATGATTCCTAACATTGTTTGCTTTTTTGACTGTTGCTACACACTGAGTGGATGTTTTCAGAAGACTATCCACAATGACTCAGATCTTGTTCTTGAGTAGTTGTAGCTAAATTAGCCCCCATCATATTGTATGTATAGTTGCGATTATTTTTCCCATGTGCATTACTTTATCAACATAAAATTTCATTTGCCATTTTGTTGCCCAATCACTTAATTTGGTGAGATCTTTTTGAAGCTCTTCAGTGTCTGCTTTGGTCTCAACTCTCTTGAATGGTTTAGTATTATCTGCAAATTTTGCCACCTCAGTGTTTACCCTTTTCTCTAGATCATTTATGAGTAAGTTGAATAGGAATGCTTTCTGGAAATGTAAACCAAAACCACCAAACCTAGGAAATAATTTGACTGGACAGAAATCTTATCGTGAACAAATGCCCAGAGCAGAAGCAGCCAAAACCCAGGTAGGGAGCTGCTCCAGCCCCAAGTGGAGCCCACAGCTGACAAGGCAAGGCTAGAGCAGCCCTTGCCTGCAGTGGAGGGCCACTCCAGCCTGGCCTTGGCAGGCTGGGAGGGTCTGGAGCAGTCCCCCGCCTGCACCCCCTTTAAGGGGTTAACCTGTTAAACAGGATTTTACAACCCTGGTCAGAAGGGAGACACCTATCCTTGGAGCCCTGCAGATCTATGTCTGTTTGGGCTGGTACTTGGGGGTTCTGCACATACTGATCCTGTGATGCCCTATATGATGCCACAACCATATATCATCAGGAAGGTCTTTTCACTTACCTGTTGCAGAAACTTGCCTTTAAGGGGTTAACCTGTTAAACAGGATTTTACAACCCTGGTCAGAAGGGAGACACCTATCCTTGGAGCCCTGCAGATCTATGTCTGTTTGGGCTGGTACTTGGGGGTTCTGCACATACTGATCCTGTGATGCCCTATATGATGCCACAACCATATATCATCAGGAAGGTCTTTTCACTTACCTGTTGCAGAAACTTGTCAGCACAAAGGTCAACAATCAGTACCTAGGGAATGCCATTATTATGCTGAGCCCAACTTTGCTGCTCTATGGAATTTGGGAGGGGGGGGACATTTTAGGGTATTTTGAATATTAGAATAGTAATGAGATATCTGCAAAACTGTTATCTGCCAAAGATAATAATCAGCTATGTTTGTATCACCTTTGTGTTTTGGGTTATTAAGATGTATGTTTAGTCTGTATTGCAGAACTTGTGCCAAGCTTCTGGACCACACTGACAGGATGTCACAGAATTCCACTTGGGGTTGTCAGCTGGTGTGATGATCATGCCACTGATGCCCACCTTCCTGCTCTCTGGGGGCCTGAAATTCTGGTCTTCCCCAGCCAAGGTACAGAGTTGGGGTAACCATCCCCTTGCAGAGCAACACAGACACTGGGCCAGTTCAGCTCCAGAAGGACTCAATTATGTGAGCTCAGTACTCAAACCAATCCTCCCAGAGAGGCCAAAACCCCAAATAAATCCATCTTATTCTGTGTAAAAGTTTTACACAGAGGAAGCTCATGAGGTCTGCCCTCTGTATTAGAGAGATGCACAACAGTTGCTCTCCTTCCCCAAATGACAATTATTTACACTGGGCTTGATAATAAAAGTATAAAAAGTAGGATTTAAGTGGTTGCAAGTGGAAACAGTCAGATCAAAGTTACTAAATTCAAATCAACAAAAAACACTAACTAGTTCTAATCCACTAAAACGTGTTACATGCACATTCTAACCCTAAACAGCTGTTCATATCTCAGGTAAAAAGCATCAAGTCAGAATTGATCTTTACTCTGGCCTAGGTCTACAGCTTCTCCTTCCCTAGTCCCTACCCACCAGTGCTGCTAACTGACCCCTCCTGCCCATGACTGGCAGGCCAACGGCATCTGGACAGTACCTTGCATTTCTTCCAACATCCCCGTCCCCCGTCCCCAAGACTCACCTCTTCTATGGGCAGGTCCTGGAGCTGTGGTAAGGAGCAGGAAAGAATGCCAATAAGGAATGGGGTGGGAGAACAGACAATATCAATCATGGATGCTGGGAGAACAGGAATGTAGGTGTGTTGCCAGGTGAAGGGGTAAAGTGTTGCAACCACAGCATGGCCACATTTAGACAAGGTGCTAGAGGGAGAGAAAAACCACATAATGAATTCAAATGCAAATTAAACAGTCAGATCCTAGCCACAGAGTTAAATGACAAGTACCCAGTATGCAGGGAACACAATTCACACACACCAGGACTGAGACGGAGCCCAACGTCTCAATTTGTGTCCTGTTCTTCATAGGGAGATGGGAATAGTACACAGCTGACAAAGTGTCTTCAGTCACATGATAAATGTTCTCGTCTCCTTTTGCAGTGCACCATTTAGACAATTTCTGACCCTTTTTTTAACAGGTTTGCTGTTACAACTCAGTTTAAATTCTCACGTGCAGAATTTAAATATGCAGTCATGTCTGACTGTCCATATGCCTGGGGTCCTGGGCAGCCGGAAGATCCTGCATCCACATGCCTAGAGCTTTGGACAACTTGAGCACTCAAGCTCTTAGCATACACAGGGCCTCAGGCAGCTCTTAAAAGGCAACTGTTTCAGAGAATTACAAAACATTAACTTGCTCAGGAAAAAGAGGCCTAGAAGCAGAAGGAAACATGAAACATCTTAAAGCAAGATGCACGTGACTCATTCTTCACCTCAGATTGTCCGCAACGAAGATCACCCTCCTTTCCAGCAGGAGAGAGGCACACACCCGGATCAGATGGCAGACACTAAGGCACTTAAACAAGCACTCGAAATCCACGTGCTCCAGCCGGGAATCCAAGGGACGGCAGAGTTCAATAACCTGAAAGCAGAGCAGAGAGGCAGGGAGTCAGAGATGCACAGCAAGATTTCAACAGACAGACCTGGGGATCTGGAAATCTGTGAAACTAACGATGGATGTTCTACAAACAGTGGAATGCAAAAGTTCACAAGCACTAAATGCTCTGCCCCCCCATTTCCCTGGGAGAACAGCACAAGGAATTGAGCTCACCCCTTCTCTTTCTGTCTGTCTCTCCCCCTCTCTCTGGAGTCATTTCTATTGTAACTTATGTTCTTGGCAGCCAAAGTGCCTGTGTGAAGACTAAGAAACAATCCTCACTAAAATCTACAGCCAGCACTGCACTACAGCAAACTGGTCAAGCACCCCTATGCCAGGCATATGCTGTCACCTTATACAGACAGTAACCCACATCTGCAGCCAAGTCCTGGTTTCACAGTTACCTCATTTCCTGCTCCTGGCAGGAAGCTCTTCACAGTGATTGTGCGTCCGGGAGCCGGGAAAGGGGCCTCCATGACACTGCGCATGAACGGATGCACCAAGGCTGGGGACATCTCTCGCCTCTTCTCGACCTCATCCAGAATCTGCAGGAAAATCATCTCCAGTCATTGCAGCACAAGACAGAACTAGGGGTGTCCCAGCTCCCTAGACACAGGACCACAAACAGCATCTTCAGTAATCAGGGCTCTCAACCAGACTGATGTCTTGACTCCCACTGTCGGGAGGGCGCCTGCACAGATGTGCGGCATAAGAACACCAAAAGGCAAGCGGACAGTGGACTGTCAAAAATCAGCTGCTGACACCATTAACAGAAGCAAAGACCTACTCTGTGGGCCCCCGAGTAGTCGGTAAGTCTCATTACATTGCTGAGAAGTCCCATCATAGGAGCGACTCCCCACTTCAGGTATAAAACTGCTGTTGGAATGGAATGGGTTGATTTCCAGCAGTGTCCATCACCTTGAGCTCCCACAGGCTTCAGTTCCGAGGCATCCCTTTCCCCCCCCTTTCAGAATCTCCGAGTCCGCACAGACAAGCGGACAGGGGCCGCAGACGGTTAGCTAGAGCTGTGAAGTCTTTCCAACAGAATCACTGCCACAGAGACTAACAGATACTTGCACGACCCCTGGGCATGTAACTAGGAATGAGTGGATGTGAGAAACGAGGCACTAAGTTTGGCATCAGGAACTCTTTCCTGAGTGCGCGGCAGATTTGGCTGTGGAATGGTCTCCCAAGTGCTAGCCTCAAAGCCGGAGATAACACGCCGCAGGGAACCAAACTGCCATGGGTTACTTACTATGGTCGGTGCAATGCAGCAGTGCAATTACAGGCTGTATGGCAGTAGCTCAGCTATTTCCTACAGCTCTCAGACTGCCAGAAAGGCATCTTGGGATGCACAGGTCCGACCAGGACCACTGGGGGTAGTGGCCTGAGGCAACCCTCCCCCAGTGCTCCAAGGCCCACAGCAACCCTCCGGCAGCAGCCCACCCACTGCCCCGCCTCTGCTCCACTCCTTCCCCAAGCTCCTCCAATGCTCCTTCCTGCCCCACCTCCACCCCCTGCCCAAAGCCACTTCCCCCGAGCAGCAGGAGCCAGGGGCTGACCAGGAGGCCTGCGCAGGGCAGCAGAGGTTCGCCCCCCTCTTGCACTCACAGGCTGCCGCGGTGAAGCAGAGCACAGCGGGCTGGGAGACAGTAGCAGAGCAGAGCAGAGCAGGCTACTGGGCCCCTTCTGCCACCATGTTGAGTATGGGAAGAGAGGCCAGGACCTGCCCTGTGGACTGGCCGGCAGTGGGGACGCGCCAGGTTGTGGGGTGGGCTGGGCTGGGCTGCTCACTCACCTTGGAGAAGAGGTTGAAGCAGCCCAGGCGGCTCACCATGCAGTACACCTCTGGAAGCCGCTTCCCTTTCCCTTCTGGCTACAAGGCAAGGGGAACGGAGAGAGTTGCACCCGGAGCACAGCAAGGGACGCAAATGGCCATGTCACCTCCCACAGGACTCAGCCCATACGCCGAGTGCTTCCTGCTACCCAGCTCTGTGCGCTCAGACTCAGAGTAATGAGCCTCAGGAACAGCATCTAGCCCACTCACGCCCCATCCCTTCTAGGCATTGTGTTCCAGGAGGCATGGGCAGCACCATGCACCTTTCACTGCTGCTCTACCCTCTAAGAGGGCTGGTAAATCCAGAAACAGCATTAAGAGAAAGGCAGCCCCCACCTGGCCAACCAGCTGTTGCGGATGCTGATCCTGGTCCTAGCTGGACTGCAAAGCTCTCCACCCCCATTACTGCCAACCCTCCCACTGGCCGTAGAGCTCACAAGCAGCCACTTACCAAGAGCTTCTTGCAGTAACCGAACCAGCGGCTGCCATCCTCACCCGTCAGCACAAAGGAAAAGGTTTCACTGGGGAGACCAAGCAGAGTTGCTCATCATGCAATTCACAGACTGGGGGAGCAGGACTAAGGGGAGGCAAATTCAACACACTGCATCCCGTCTGCAGCCCTTTAAGCTCACTGTGGGAGACCCAGAGGGATGCTCCCTGCTGCAGACTCCCTCCCTCCCACACACAGGGGACTGAGGTGCCCACAGGCTGCAGAAAACTCATCAGTCTGCTGTCTCCAAGCTTCTCCGCTCTGCCAATCACCAGCAGCAGCTGCCACTGCAGCAGGATCTAACTCGGGGAGAGTGCTGCAGGTGCCACACGAGATAGAGGTTCCGCTGGAAGTAGCGGGAATGAGGATGAGTAGAGATGGCCCTGCGGCCTGTGCACCCCTAGCATTCTTATTCTGGGATCAAAACCTCCGGGGAGTTCTCCTACTTTGGCCTGTATCTTCCATTTCCAGGCACAGCCACCTGGCAGATGCCGTCGCACCCAGCCCTCGCCCATCTCTCACTTATTCCAGTGGGAGCCCAGCGAGCAGTGCTTACTCACAATACTAAGCTTTACCTTTTGAGCTCTGCTGTTGGAAGCCAGGCTTTAGGATCTGGGAAGCAGAACTTGGGGATGACCTTTAACCTCTCCTCGGTATCCTTGGACTGCTTGATGGGTTGCTCGGGCTGCAAAAAGTAACACCCCAGTTATACAGGGCCACTCCCCCAAGATCAGAGAACAACGGCGGCAGCGTTCACTGGAATAGGATGAGTTTCCACCCTGCGGTAGGGGCTTGTGGGCATCAACCCACACAAGTCGGATGTCAGGACCAGGAGAATATTCTCTGCCTATTCCCGATTCCCAGCTTCCTCTCATGTTGCTCTATGCAGCTCAAAGCACACAGCCACCGGTCCAGCCTCAGCAGATCCAGGCCAGGTCTTACAGGTCCAGTATCTACTTCTCTATCACTAGGACACGGTTTGATGCTCAGCTCTCCAAAGAGCAAAGTGAATTCCTGGTCCCACATTTCCAACCACACAGACTTTTGCTACATCTTGTGCCTGACCGGTTAAGCTGTGGCTTTAGCTCAATGGCCTTTCCCACCTTCAACTGGAAAGCTGGCTTTCTAGCTCAAGCTATGGAGGCTCCTGCACTAAGCTCCAAAGGCATTACACAACGGCAGCAATGCGGATCAGTGGCAGCAATACGAGCTGTGAATGGAATAAAGCTGCAGAGCTCCCCCAGTGATCACTGAAGGGTGAGTCTGCCTGGCTCAGTCCTGCCATTAGGAGATGCCATGACACTGCAGCAATCTCTCCTCGAGATATCTGTACGTGTAACAGGCCGAGATCCCAACTTGCACAGGAAGGGGGTTTATCCCTCCTACGGTCTGTCCACAGGGAGAGAGCAAAGCTTTGTGCATCATTACGAGATGGGAAGGGCACCAATTCTTTGACATCAGTTATCTCTAGCCAGCCCAAGTCCCCCGAGAACAGGCGGCCACCTTCAGAACCATTCAAGAACAACTGCACTTGGACTAAGGGATTCGACCAGCTATGGGAGACGTCAGAGAAAGCCATAAGGTCTTTCCCAAGGAACACAAGTCATATTTCATGTGCTAGCATATTTGTGCCTCTGTCATTTCTACTCCTTGTATCTGATGAAGTGAGTCTTTGCCCAAATACATCTGTTAGTCTCTCAAGTGCCACAGGACTCCTGTTTGCAGACGCAGAGTAACATGACTGCCCCTCCCATACAAGTCATATTTGGGAGTCTCACTTCCCCACACTGCACAGATGGGAACCTCACATCACTTAGTGTCACAAGATGGGACAGGCTAGAAATAGGGATGTTAAAGGTGTAATAGGGTAACCATGTAACTGCTCAACATCACAGTGGTGACAGTGACCCACACTGCGGGGTCTGTAGTATAAAGCTTTACACTGCAGAGCCCTCGGTGAAACCTCCCCAGGAGTAGGGCCACCAGCCCCTGCCAGCTCTGCTCTCAGGGAGACTTCACTGAGTGTAGTGGACACTATTAACAGAAGCATCTGCTTATTGGTTAAAGGGTTAGTTGTTTACACAGAAACATCCCTAGTTAGGAAGGGCTGGTCTTCAGAAGATGTCTACTGCATGGACATTTTGCTGGCCCCAGATATACAGCTCATGCAAGCGGGGGACAGGCGGATTTTTTGGGAGCAAGCCTAGATTTAGAGCCAGGCTAGTCTGTAATCACAGCCCCTACGGTATAATCAGTGCTCCATAATTACTGGCCTGATAGTTCCTCAGTATGAAAGACCCTCCCTGTGTAAATCCCCCATCATTCACCAAAATATTCTCAATCAAGCCGAGGTTAGACACACTGAGAAACTGCTTAGTGCTGTCAGTACCGTTACAAAACCAGGCCAAGCTCCATTCGGTGCAGACTGGAACCGATCCACTGATGAGGTGCAGCAGGGAAGGAAGATGCTCTGACAGTCACGGGGGAGGACACCTCTGGCAAAAAGCCACATTTTTCACTGCCTTTCAATACAGGGAGTTCATGCCCTATGTTCACTTTCACCCTGCTGCATGGACACTGCCCCCAGGAGCTGGTAGTGTTCCTTGGGGGTTCCAGAGTCACCGTACATTTAACCACAATCCTCTCAGCAGCATGCTGAGCTCTTAGGGCTCCCAATACCACAGGCCTTGCAGCCCTTCCAGCCACCCCTTAGGGTGAAACAGCTGCCCCCCTGCGCTAATTCCCAACCGTAACTTTTTTCTTCTTACAGGAACCGGGAAAGTTTCTTTTCTGGAAACGGAAAACCCACAGTAACTTGTGGTGCATAGCTGAGGCAGCTTGCAGGAGAGGAGAGGCAATGTAGCCATACACCCAAAGCTGGGCTGACCTCAGTCCCGCTCCTGTGGCTACACAGACAGGGAGGGATGTGCTAGCTCATGTGGCGTAGGAAACAGTGACCGAATGCCATGGGGCTTCATTCACTTTTCCCCCAAAAATCAAGATGAAGCCACAAACCAAACTGCAGCCAACTAAGGCAGCTACAGAGCCACAAACACCCATCAGCCACAGCAAGTCTCTCATTCTGCTTGCTCAGACCTACATACATAGCTAAGGGCAGCTTCGGAGAGCCCCCGCACTAGCCCCGGCGAGACGAGAGAGAATGTAGGCTCTAGAGGGAGGCCTCGTCGTAGTTCCCACCATGGCCCTACACTGAGCAGTTTTCAGATGTTGTATATCAGCCCAAGCTTTTATAAGGTCCCTGTGGTGTCTGAGCACCTTCTGCAAGGAGCAAGAACACACCTCCCCCCAGTCCTGCTAGCATAGGCGCTGAGAGGAGAGCAGTTCTCATTTCATAAAAGGGCTCAGCAGCAACATTTCCCATTCCAATTACTTCAGAGGAGACTCAGCCTCTCTTGGGCTTGAGTCTCTCAGCACTAAGCAATTGCAACAGCAAAATATTACCATGCGCTTCCACTCCCTGCCAATCCCACCCACAATCCCAGATTCTAGGAAGGACTTTCCCATTAACACCCGGTTCTGACACATCCAGGACACGGGATCAGGATCAGAGTGCTCTGTGAGAAGGCGTCTCCACAAGCCCCATGCACAGGAAGCAGAATCCAGCCTGCCACAATGCGAACCCAGCTGCAACCATACCACAGCACTGAACTCAAAGTGACCTGGGGAAGCGACGGTTTCTAGCGCAGCCGAGGACAGGCCCATGTTAGCTGCTGCTTGGACACGCTGGGCTCTGCACAGCGGCTTTGCCCCTTCACGTGTGAAAGGCCAGAACAGGTTTAATAACTGCTGCAAGGAACAAGGGATTGGCACAAGCTCAGCAAGCGTCGGTTCAAGGACCCAGTCAGGCTGCTCCCTCTGTGCGTAGCAGGGAGTGTCACAGGACCCGACATTTCCCCCAAAACTAGGAAGCAATATGCATTTTAATATGGTCAGATGTCAAGTTCTACCTCTGGGAGCAAAGGCAGCAGGCCAGGCTTACAGGCTGGGGGGCAGCACAGGCTGACTGCACGCAGTGAAATATTTGGGAGTTCGGGTGGTTCATCAGCTGAACATGAGATGTCAGTGCAACACCATGTGATCCTTGGACGTCAAACAGGAACATTTTGCATAAACTTCTAGGGGTGTGCTCTCAGCTCTATTTGGCACTGGTGTGACTGCTGCTGAAATACTGCGGCCAGTGCTGGTGCCCATGACTTAAGAAGGATGTTGATCAATTGGAGAAGAGCCACGAAAACGGTGAAAAAATTGGAAAGTGCCTTACAATGAAAGGGTGAAGGAGCACCATCTACTTAGCTTAGCAAAGAGGTTACAGGTGACTTGTTCACAGCCTGCAAATATCTACCTGGGTGAGAGTAATCAACTCTTGGAACAATTTACCAAGGACTGTGTTGGTGGATTCTCCATCACGGGAATTTATAAATTAAAAGTGGACAAGTCTGTAAGAATAATGAAGAACTTGAGCCTTCCCAGGAGAAGTATATCCAACTCCCATTAACGTAGTGCCCGAAGCCTCCAGCATGGTTGTGCTTTCCTTATAACACTCCTGTGAGGTAGGGCAGTGCAGCCATCAGGGAAACTAGACCGATCTCATATCTACTACACTGGGAATCCATTCTGCAATCAATGCACCGGCCGTCAATTTATCACGCCTGCTTAGACTAGGGATGTAAAATCCTGTTCAAAATGTTACGTTTAAGCTGTTAACCAGAATCCCATAGGCAGGGGCTGCTTCTGCCCAGGCTAGTTAACTGCTCATCTAGTAAGGATGATGCTTCCCAGGTAACTCTTTACATCCTAGCTTAGACCAATAAATCCACCTCTAAGTATTCTTTGATGGACACGGTACCCCACTAGGACGAGAAGAGTAGCTGAAATCAACATGAGAGCAGCCCCACCAACCTTACATGGTAGCTATGTCGATTTGAGCTACACAACTTGCCTAGCTAACATGATGTAGCTTAGATGCTGTCGGGGGTAAATAGAGACAAGGCGAGAGGATGGGTGATGTGTGTACAGAGGGTTTGGCAGAGCCAGAAGCAATTAGCTGCACACCCTGGCTCTGCTCATCTGCACAGAGCCATGGAAGAGGGAAATGCAGGGAGGGAAAAATAATTCAACAGGTGAAGCTGATAGGAGCGGTACAGCTAGAGGCAGCTGCATGGGACCCACCTTGCTGGGGAACTGCTGTATGACCTGCGGGGTGTACGTTGTCTCAGATGGCCTCTTCTTTAGGGACACGACCACAAAGAGCTCAAACAGCTGCTGTTCCTGGAATTCGATCAGATCCCGCTCCAGCGTCTGATAGTGCGGGTTTCTCTTGTGGGTTGCCTGCACTTGCAGCAAGCGCTTGTGGCGGCCTGTGGAATAAGGACCAGGTCAGTGACAGGAGGCTGGGGCTGTAACACTAAGCATCTGAGGCTCTCAATACGCCTCATTGTTTGCACTGCACAAGAGAAAAGGTCAAGGGACGTACCCAAGGTCACGCAGCAGGCAAGTGGCAGAGCAGGAAATGGCCCTCAGGTCCCATCACAGAGCCTAGTGCCTCCTGCCTAGAGTAGGACACCCCAGTCTCAGCTCCCACAAGCACACAACTCCCACAAAGGCAATAACATCCCCAGCCCCTTTGTCAGTGGATTTTATCAGCAGCCCAACCCTTTCAACACCTCCATAGGCTGGTTCTTAGCCCGGAGGCTCCCCCTAACCCCTAGCTGCACTGAGGGACACATGCCTGAGGGCTGTGATGGGGACGACTGAGAAGGGGCCTCATTTTGTCAACAGGGCATATGAGGGGTGGGATAGTCTCCATAAAGCTGCCAGGCGCCAGGCAATCATATCACAAGAGCGATGTTTTCAGCAGCAAGAGAATTCACAATGGAGGCTGAGTCCAGCTCCGCCCTGTCCCCCATCCAGCCCGTCCCACACAGCACCACAGACTCTGCCTACGCGGCACATAGGGAAGACTGGCACAGCCGAGGGGTCTGACACATACTCTGTGGGTTTGTATTATTCAGCCAGACTCACTTGGTGACTCACCGGCTCCATTTTGAGCCAGCCTACAACCTTCCCCCTAACACAGAGAGATGGAGTTTTGCCATCAACCTCAAATTATGGGTTTTTGCATGTCATCTACAGGAAGGAAACATTTAAAACAGCCCAACTGGTTCCTTGTCACTGGGTACTCCCAGCACAGCGCCCTCCCATTTACTACAGATGAGTCTGCCTACCATGTCTAAGTTCAGGCCAGGCCTGCAGGCAAAGTTTTTACCCCTTCATTTCCCAACTCTGGGAAGCTGGAAGCTCAGATCCCTTCTGTGCCAACCAGAGCATATGAGTCAACACCGAAAGCCTAGATGTGAGCCTGTCATTCTGGTTGTCCTGCCAGTGTTGTCATCAAGACAAGGGACCAAACTACCTACTTTTTGGGGGCCCCGTTCCAAACAGGGCATTGCAGAGCACAGCCCACGTGAACAGAGAAGGGGCGTAGCACTCAGTTCTGCACCAGACATGCTCCAGGGAAGTGAGTTACTCCCAAGTATGGCTGTCACTGGAACAGTCACCTGGAGTGACTGACAGGATAGGCTGGGAGACATGGCACATGGAGCTTGACATGCCGACTCCAGCCCCTCCTCACAGGCACAAGAGGCTGGTTTGACACAAGAGTGGCAGTTTCCTGCATTGGCTACCAGAGGCCCAAAAACCACAGAAGTGGCTAGTCCCACTGGAACCCTGCCAGCATTAATTATGCTATGGGAACAGGACCAGCCCCAGCGACTGACTCACTCACTTTTCGGCAGATTCTCTGTCTCACTTTCATTCCCACTGGTTTCACCTGAAACGAGAAACAAGGCTTCCATAACTCTCAGTTGCCGTGAGAAGGTGGGTGACACCCAGGCTGCTGAAGGGGTTGCGTGCAAGACCTCCCTTGGATCTACACCGCTTGTTAGCCATCTTGTTCGTTACAGTAGTCTCAGCAAAAGCAGCCCTTTGACAGGCCACTATTTATTGGAGAGTTCGTCTGTGTATGATCAAGAACTCCTCCCAAATGGTAAGAGCTAGGACCAGCAAATTCCATCTGCAGCTTCCTCTTAGAACTTAAAGCCACATAAGGGTTTGGTTGTGCCAGGGAAATAGCCTCTGTCTGCATTGGATTTGCTTCCCATCAAACCAAACAGAAGAGAAACAGAATCAGGAGGTAAAGTACAGTTTTCAAAATGGACATGATGGAGCACATTTTGAAAGAGACCCAACCAAGATAAACCAGAAAAACCCATCACAACCAATGGTGTGTGCAATCAGCACGCACCTCACTTCACCTGCCCTGGCTTTACACGGGTGCCCCCTTTATAACAGCAATAGAAAAAAAACACTATGTGGATGAAAACCAGCAGAATCTGGCAACCCTGCACATAGGTAATGGTAACAAAATGCCTGATAAGCCATCTCCAGAACCCCAGTGGGCTGTATGCGGCTGTTGGGAAACCAGTTGCCCACCACTGGCACAGAGCTACCCTAGCACTGCAGGCTCAGACACAGCTTGATTTGCAGGGGGTCCTGAACATCCAAAAATCCCCAACCGAGTCAGTGCAAGATGTAGGAGATCAGCATCTCTGGTCTCAAAGCGCCGCAATACATTTGCTCATTCTCAGAGCAGTCGCTACCACATAAAGGCCCCGTTATGCTGCCAGGACCATGGCACGTGGTGAATGCGACATGTCCATGGTCATGCCACTTGTGTGCTACATGAGGAAGAGGATGACATAGGCCGTCTCCATACCTTTTGCTGGAGGAGCTTCTTTCCCTGTGTAAGTGATTAACTTCACCCTCTTCTTCCCGCGTTTAGACTCGAAGATCTCCTGTATTTTTAACACAAGCTGGAAACCAGAGAGAAAGCCGAGATTAATGCAAGCCCCACACACGTGAAAGGTGGCAGGTACCAGTAGCACAGCAGACTTAGCAGATGCCAGTGCTTCCAGAAAAGGCTTTACAAAGAACTTGCTCAAGAGAGATTGGTCATAGGGCTGTAACAACTCCAAGGATACTGCAGGTCTAACAATGCAAGGAACAATTACTCCATGAGCCTGTTAGACTCCACACAGAGCACAGCAGAGAAGGAAGGAAAGAAACGTAATTTAGACTCTAGAGGACTCATTCATGTATATTTGGTTTATCAAGCAGGCCGCAGAGACCCAGACACAGGGAGGTCTGAAGCTATGAACAAGACAAACCAACCATAAAGAAAGTTACAGCAGCATCCTGTAGAATTTGCCTCAAGGAAGCCTTCTGCAAAGGATCAAGAGCTCTGTGCACCTGCATCCCCTCTCCTCCCCTCCCCTTTCTGAGCATAGCCAGCGCTGTTTGATGTAGCTTGGCCTAGTTTCCTGGCGTTGTACAGAATGCACCGACCATCTGAGACCCAGGCATGTTTTCCAATGCAGAGAGTCTTCTGCTTGCTGTGTGAAACAGCGCACCAGACAAAGGGCCTGCCCCATGGCATTTCCTCAGCTGAGTGGTTATAAACCCCTTATCTTCTCCACTCTAGTGTGCCCAGAGAGAGGGCAGTGCCGTGTCTGCCCCACAGCAATCAGGTGAGCCCAGTCTAGAGAGAGAAGAAACATGAACGTTACCACTATCCTATGTGGCCAAGCAACAGAAGAGAGAAAGGCACCAACATTCTAATATGGAGGGCAGGAGCGGCTGGGTTTTTGTTGATTCAACCATTTTTAAAGCCTTGGTTAACACCAAACCCACAAGGATCTCTGGAAATGCAGCCCACAGGCGCCGAAAGGCATCTCCACTCTCCTGCTAAGGCCCTGTGCCCCCCAGACACAGGCAAGATGGGAGAGCGCACCTTGTTGCTACTTGCTGGAGCTTGCTGACATTTTTGGAGCAGGGTGATGTTTTTTTTTTTTTAAACACAGTAGGGAGGTCAAGTTCTCTCTTGCCCCAGTGTTAAGAATCCACACATGTTCCCAGCAAGTAGCAGGGTGGGGCCAGTTATTTCTGTCCCCACACACACGGCAGAAATAGGAAGAGTCACTGACAGAACCTGTTCTCCAGCTCAAACCCTCATCCCCAATCTCAGTGAACTAGGCCGAATTTCAGGCTTGCCTCGTTTTCTGATCCCCTTCTGATTTTCTGGAGCAGCAACAGACACGTTCTCTTCGTGCAGGGAGACACCCTACAGAGGCGCTACTGTTTCACTTGTGCAGGCCTCCTTCTCTCCGGCTCTCCCCTGGACATTTTGTTATTGCTCCTAACTGAGAGGATTTCAGTCACCAGGGAGAGATGCTGGGAGCACTCAAAGCACCAAGGTTTCTTTTCCTGCTCGAGACAGAACTTGCCTTTTTTTGGACTGAAATTCTTTTCTTGCTTTTTCTGAGTGTCTTGCAATCCCAGCAGAATCCTTTGAGTGCTGGGAGAACAGCATCTCTCCCTGCATAGAAATTGCTCCCAGACTCTTGGAACAGATTTGGGGTTTTGTGAAGGATTCCCCCTCTCCCCCCAACTCCAGAAAAAGGTCACATGCTATCATTTCATTTCCATCGTTCTGACACCATGCTCTCTACTGCCAGGCAGGGTGTTTATTATAATCTTTGTACAGGGGTATTACTGCTCCACGTATCTACAGACTTCGCAGGCAGCTCACACCGCGTAGGTAAATATTGTCCCAGGCTCTCTCAGGGCACCAGAGCATGTTCTTGTCAGTCAGAACTAGAACCCAGGAGTGCCATGTTCAAACCACTAACCAATGATGCCCCACCGCAGTAGCTACCATGTCCTTTCCCTCTGGTGCACTGTGTTTTGCTATGGAAGCATTGCTCAAGACAACTGGAAGCTGAATTGGGTTTCAGGTTTTTTAAATACAAACACCTGGAAATATGCCCAACAGACACAGGCAGGAACCACAGCAAAGTTCCATTTCTCCAACATGACGACAGAATTAAATCCCTTTCTTGATTCTGCCCGAGAGGTGTGTGTCCCTTATCCACACAGCAGGGAGCGGCAGGAAGAACGATACCCAAGAGTTATGAAACAGGCTCATTCCTAAGGAGCTGTTCAGCAGCTTTTAATGAGGAACAGCTGCCAGCTTGCTTTCATGAACATCAGATCAGGAACACAGACCAACCACCCAAATAACTGAGCAACAAGCCCCCACAAGAGAGCCAGGGTGGCTCCAGGCCTTGCCCGCCAGAGTAAGTGCTTACACCAAAAAAGCTAATCGACAGTTAATGAGTCACACTGACTTGTACAGAAACTCCCTGTGCTTATTTCCCAGCCCCTACACCTGTCTGTCGATAGACAACGTTCTCCCAAGTCGGGACTGCCCTCCCTGCATGCTTGACGGATGTGCCCAGCCCACAGCAGGGGGCTTCCACAGCTAAGTCAGTCCTCAATTCAATTCCACGTGAACACTCAGTACGTGCCTGTCTTGCAAAGCCTTGTCTCAAACCCCACAGGGTCCCTGGGGATCCCTCCCTGCCCTGCTCCCTCAGCACAGACACGCCAAAGCCTCCATTCACCCACATCCATCTGCTATTGGAGGGTCTGCAGGCTCTCACTGTTCCTCATACTACCATGTGGGAGAGCCTGTGACCCTGGGCAAGCCACAGCCCCGCCCCACCGCAGAGCAGAGAGCAGCAGCACTGATCTGCGAGGCCCGGGGCGCCAGGACCATTGCCAAGCATTCAAAGGTGCTAGCAAAGGGTGAGCGTTATCACCACAAGTGCCACGCCAGAAGCAGGGACTCCCGCACGAGCAGCAGGCACAAGCCTCACCCGGGGAAGGTTCCTTTTCATGCCAGTGACCTCCCCTGCTCGGAACAGCTTCCACTCGGTCAGCGTGACAGGCAGGGTGGTGTCCTTCCCACGCAGGCACGCCCGGGCGGCTTTCAGCTCCAGGGTCTTGCGATTGAGGAAGGCAGGCTTGGGAGGGAGCTGGAACAGACCGGACAAGACATCGCGGGTGCTTTGGAGTGAAAACCTTTGCTGGCCAGGTTTCAAAGGGGCTGCCCAGCATTAGTGCGGGGCTTATACGGAAAACGAGATCCCTGATTACAGCATCTCAGCTCCGACCCATCCCTCCACACGCTCAGTATGGACCCAGCCCCTCAAGCCACCCACACCTGCCAACAGGAAGCACCCTTCCCGGGACCTCAGAGCGACAGCTGCTTATTGCTGAGGGACAAACGGGGAGACCCAAGACCTGTGGCAGGGAGTAAATGCCAGGTGCCTGGAGAGGAGGGATGCCCACCTCCCCTCCGGGGCCCTGCAGCTGCCCACCCCACCTTGCAGCCAGGAACAGTTTATTTGTCAAGACACTAAACTTTCCCCACGCACCCAGGTGAGCCTGCCCAGCCTTGGCTAATTTACAGCTGCCCGGCCAGAGAGCAATTCCCAGCGGTGCTGGGCTCCAAGATGGCTGCTTTCCACATCCCATCCCTGGGCCCTCTGGCCTCAGGACAAGCTGGGTGGGCCCCACAGACATGAACCCAGGCAGCCTGGGATTCACACTCACCTTGGGAGGCCTGAAGGCATTCTTTGGGGGTGGCAGCTTCCAGGTGGACGGGACCCTCCACAAAGGTAAAGGCAACACTTTGATGTCTTCATACAGATTCTCCTTCACAGGAGCTAGTGAAAACAACCCGTAAGACTCAGGAAGTGGGGGGTAAAACATCCCTCCCCGTCAGCCAGAACCAAGCAGAACTAATGCCTGGCAGGGCTATAGGATCGGTGACAGCCCATACCCCAGTGACGCCGCTACGGCCATGGGGTAGCCAAAGCCCTGCCAACCCCCGGACCTGTGGCTGCGGGTATCCTGCGTAGAGACCCCACTAATTCACAGCTGCTTGGTGCTGCAGGAGCACAGCCACCAGCGCGCCAACAGCAGCCAACTTTTTCTGCAAGCGTTTACGTAAAGCAGCTACGGGAAAGCTGAAGCCAGCTCAGCTGTGTCCTATTCCCAGTGCCACTAGAGAGCCTGCTGGTACTTAGCCCCGTGTCCCTGCTACCCTGGGACCAGACACAGGGAAATCCGAACACTTGCAGGCCTGAACAGACCCCTCCCCGCCCCCACTCAGGTCACTGGCCGAGCACAGGCACATACAGAGAATGTCCTCGTAGACATTGTCCTCTGACTGCGTGTAGTAGAGTCGGGACCCCGAGCTGCTGTTCAGCTCCTCGTGGAGCTTCTGGGAGCTGGTGGCTGCCATGCGACTGCGGAAGCCCTGGATGTCTTCGAACTCAAAGGATTTCCTGAAAACAGAACAGCACATCTGAGCCATTTCTTCTGAGGAGGGATGCAAGTCAGAGGAAGGAGGCCCAGGAACAGGCCAGGCCTCCAGCCCCAGGCCCATGACAACCCCCCAGGCAATTTATTCCAGTGCTTAACCACCCTGGCAGGCAGGCAGTTTTTCCTAAAGGCCAATCTCAACCTCCCTGGCTGCAATTTAAGCCCCTTGCTCCTTGTCCTGCCCCAGTCCCTGCCCCCGCACACAGCGCTCACCCGCGTGCCCAGAGCAGGCTGCACCTGTTTCCAGCGTGCGTAGCACTAGTGCAGAGCTAACACAGGGGACGTGGTGTTGCTGGTTAACTCAGACGCACAGGCAAGTGGGCAGCCTCGCCCAGCCTGCTGCCGTAGTGTTTAACGGAGACACGTGGCCCCAGACTCCAGGCAAGTAACAGCTCAGTCCCCTGGAGTCATGTTGACCCACGCAGCAACAGGGCTCTTCACTAGAGAAGACAATTGGCCCATGAGTCCCGGGCTGCACCCCCGCTCAGCCGGGGGCCTAGCTAGCACAGCTCCGTCAGCTTTCGGAGTCCTGGGAAGAGAGGCGTGTGGGGCAGTAGTCGGGACAGTCTGTGCACAGCAGTCACTGCACCGCACAGGAGGGTGGGGATTTCAGGTCTCCCCTCTCTCTTCCAAAGCAAGCCCAGGGGCCAAGCTCCCCCCAGCCCCAAGGATTTTACGGTCTCCTCTGGAAGTGCAATTCCGGTGAGGCTTTCACAAACACCCCCATCTCACCACCTGGCTTGGGCATGGGACTTGCTCAGCAGGGGCTATGGGGCAGGTGCTCAGTGCACACAAGAGCAAGAAAGAATTAAGCCACCTACCTCTTGGATCTCCCTCTGATTTTCCTGTTTGCCAATCCCTGCTCAGGCTCCTGGGCGGATTCTGCTGAGGACTCATTACACTGGCCGTCCTGTGGCTTCTCCCCCCCGCCGCTGGCGTGGTCCCTTTCCAACAGGTAGCGGAAAGTCCGGCGGGGCTTCGGGGGAGGGACGGCAGCAGGCCGCGGCTCCTGGCCCTCAGGCTCTGAGTAAATGTTTTCGAGGCTCCTCCCTGTCGCCCGGAGGGGCTCCCCTCCCCTAGCCTGTAGCTCTCGCTCTGTCGAGCCACAGCTCTCCCGCTTCCTTTTCAGCTCCACTGCCTCCGCGACCACCTTGCCAAGGGGACCAGCTTCTAGGTCCTTCCACGCCCCACGGGAGGTGTAGAAGTTCCCTGGGGGTAAACTCTGCTCTGGGTCCAGCAGGCCTCCCCGCCAGTCTCCGTTTTCCTCTGCCCAGGAACTCAGGCTGCACGCGCGCACTTTGGGCCTGAGCATCTCCAAGGAGCCACATTCGCTCTCATCCTCGCTCTGAGAAAGGTTCCTGCCCTTTTCCCGGAAGTCCAGGCCCAAGCCCTTTGTGTTTGCCAGCTCCACCTCCCCGCCACTGCCATTCCCCTGTGGCTGGGCCTTGGGCAGAGCCTCATAGCCAGGGTCATACTGCACGCCAAAGTCCTTCGGTTGCTGTCTGTCCTCGCCGCAGCCCCCCCGAGTCCTCCCCTCCCACTGGGAGATCTTCTGTTTGATGTTCCGGCAGTGGCTGCGGGACAGAGTCTGCACAGCGCACCGAGAAAAGCCACCATCCGGGGTCCCTGTGGGGTGCATGGCAGGAGCCTGAGTCCTCACAAAGGCCCCATCGCAGGCACTGCCTTGTCCACACGCACAGCGAGACGGTGCCAAGTCCCCACACCCCTGCTCTGCTCCAGCAGACCACGGACAATCCCTCTGGACAGCAGCCAGTCCTAATTGAGCCCTGGGGGGAGGGAAGATCCATGAGCCCCACTCCCAGGAAGAAGGCACCTTACACACACACCCCAAAACGGGCAGCAGCAAACTGGAAGGCGCAGCACTGACCCCCCTCGGGCAGCCCCTCCTCACAGAGTGCTCAACGGATCCCCTCACACCAGAAAACGCCTGTTCCCCAAAGGACACAGCTTTCAACTCACGCTGCAGGGAGCACAAGGCTCCACGTGCAGCACCACCGGGGTGGCTGCTCTCACTGCTGCGGTTCTCCGAGTCCCCGCAGGGCTGCTCTCCTGAAGACAGCAGCAACAGGCGCTCCAGAGCACGCCCGGCGCAGCGTTTCCAGGGCCCTGTGGTCTCGCTAGGCCCAGAGCCGGCCTGCACATTATGGTAGCCAAGGCACCAACAGCCCCGTGTGCATGCTGGGGCTCCTGCTGGGGGTGCTGTGCCCAAGGGGCCTCCCAGCTCCAGCAAGCCCCGATCACCAGGCGGCTGGGGCACGATGCAGGGAAGCAGACAGGCCCAGGAACTGCCAGTCTGCCCCCCAGCTGGTCGGAACCTGCTCAGTGCTCCACCTGCCCTAGATCGGCCACCAGGGAGACTCCCGGTGTGGCGTGGGAGGGGGAGACGCAGCAGCTCTGGGTACAGGGCTGTGTGGCTCACTCACACCCTGCTCTCACAGCCCAGCAGCTCCACTCCGACCCAGAGCGCAGGCCACTCACCATGGCTGCCAGCTGGGCAACGGAGACACCCTGAACATGGACAAACGCAACCCTGTCTGGTGGTTCCAGCCACGGCCAGAGCGGGACACGCAAGTGGGCGGCTGCGTGGGAGGCTGCCAGCTAGACTGTGCTGTACGTGGCCAGCGCGCACGGCTCTGGGCACAGCCGCGGCACAGACATTTCCCACGACGCCAGCAGGGGTCAGGCGCCACAT